CATCCACCTTGATACGATTTGCTCGGTAAAGTCGCCTTCCAATCACACAAATATGTAAACATGCAAGTTCGGTACAGTAGTTTCTTTCGTCTGTTGCTATGGGCTGAACCGGCCCAAAAGACAGTTCGTTGCGGTTTGTATCTAATCTTTGTCTGCGACTTGAGCCATTTGCAACCTTCGGTCGCGGCATTTCTCGCAGAGGCAATCGTACACCAAGCCGCCGCACGACAAATTAGACACAGGCTCCCATGTTGGTTCGTCGTAGCCACTTTGAATCCCCTGACAGCTCGTTCTTTGCTTGTGGACAGTGGGACTCGGTCATCCAAAATTGCTTCCACTTCATATTCGCCGGTAACGTGGTCAGGCTCCCAGCTGTCTTCTGGTAGCAATTCTTCATCAAGTCTAAGCGCGAAGCGTCGGTCACTTCGGACGCCAACCGAATATTTGGTCGGTTGTTGAACTCATCTACCGCCTTGAGCCGTGATACATGCGTCGCCGGATAAAACCGGTAACCGCTTCGGTCCGGCAGGTCGAGTTCATAAGCGAACTCTTGAACCTTTTCTTTAACGTGGAAAGGTCCGTGCCATCGGTGCACTAGTTGCTCCGTCAATCCGGGCTTGACACGCTCCCTGTACAACAAAACGCGGTCGCCAGCCTTAAACAGAGACTTCGCTTCGCCACAGAGATTTCGTTCGACTCTTCGGTCGCTGCCCCTGTCTGAGCTAATCCATCACCCAGTGTAACGATCTGATCCGTTCTGGGAATCGCAGCCTTTTCAATCCTACTTAATGATTCGTTATGCTTCTGAGCACTCCTAGTTTTCTCGATCGCTGCGTTCTCTTCGGCCATCTTCAATGCAATTTCTTGTTGACGGTTCGCCTCCCGGCGGCAGCAGGTCATGGCGTCTGACGGTCGTCCGAAACTTCGTTGAAATGATGAGGACATTGCCTTGAGAGTAGACTGTGCATCCCATCACGGAATAAGATAAAAGGGTGTCTCCTTCCTCGTCGCATCTATCCAATTGTTAATCAACTTCACAACGATGTCGTCCCAGTCCTGCTGCAGCGGATCTTCCCCGTATACACGCACAGACTGCATAACCGTTTTGACGGACAGTTCTTGCTGGCCGTTCGCCTGGGGCCGGTAACTTAATGTTGCACTAGACATCGACTGCATCAATTCGGTGAAAGCTTGAGACCTCACTCATGAAGCGTGGGTCTCGATCATGTCTGATCAACGACTGCGCTCCGAACCTTTGGTAGACGCATTCTTCAAACACTTGTGCCACCCATAAGGCGGTGGTGTTGGCCATGGCTTTTCCTATTACGGATCCGGTGAATGCCCACTGAAAAATAATAGCACCGTGTTCCCTCGCCGAGACTTGGACAAGGGTATGGCGAAAACCATAGACACGATTTGAAACGGTCGCTCTGCTAGAACGTTGCCAGGTGAGTACCCGCGAAACTAAGGTCTACTTTTACTCGAGGTACAGTCGGGACAAGAGCGTACATGCCTTACGACATCTGCGTAAAGACCGATCCAGTAGTAATCCACTTTCGCCTGGTAGAAGGTTCGTGCGATACCTGGATGATCACTTTCTAGCGAGTCGTGGCAGTTTTGTAGTACCTCTTGAATCACCGTGGTGAGTACCACTAGACGCAGTGTTGGCTCCTCTAGCAGGTGGTCACCTCTCAGAAATCTCGTTCTTAGGTGGTAAAGAACGTTGTCCTCACTCAGAACAAAGCGGTCGGCGGTCTACCACTCGTTATGCCAACGTCGACTCATCACCACGGAGAACAGTCTTTAAGTTCGCCCATCACAACTCTTCATCTCGAGCGACCGCGATCATTCTTCGTCGTTCTTTTTGAATCTCCAGAGGGTCTACATTATCGGCGCTGGGCGACGCGGGTGTGGATCCCGTTACCCTTCGTTCTTTCTGATTCTCAATATTTGAGGTTCCGGACGGTGTATCATTCGACCTGCCTCGCAACGGAATGTCGTCTACACTTTGGGCCGAAGTTTCATCGGCGAATCTGACGCGTTTACGGGCTGACTTCGCCCCCTGCTGGTCGTCACCGTTAGAATCATGATGCATTTGTATATCTAGCGGAACAAAAGCGCTGAAATGGTCAGTGATGTTCCGGATTGATATTTTATCAATCTGGTATTTATGTAGCAGGGAAGTTATTACTTCACTACTTATGTGAAGTACTAACTTACCTGCTACTTATTACTACCGTTCTCGATAGAAAATTTGACATATATTTGACCGTATTAATATTATCGGTCCCAGTAGCGATAGACAGCGTGTTCCTTCCGTCACAAAGAATCTATACTGCAGTTAATTGGCAGCATAGTCAGAGAGTACCGCCTGTTTATATTAGCCTATTAGCTTTAGATTTATTATTAATCGAAATATTTAAAAGCACATATCCTGCGCTTGCTTGGTAGCCGCAGCATCTACGCAATTGGCTCTTAATAGCAACGAAAGATATACTTCTCAATTAGCTCTCAAACTTTACAAATTGTAGAAAACTTGGAAACACTAACGTTTGAAACAGCGCGTCACTTCAATTTCCTGCCAAGCACATGTAGATATACTTTGCAGGCACCAATCATTTCCCACCATTGCGTCTCTTCAACTACACAATGGCGATGCAATCTCATATCAACAGGCTAGGCACCACAATGTGCGTTTATGTTTAGACCGGTATCTAAACAAGAGGTATCTAATCAAGAAGCAGTGGATTGAATCATTTAAGCATAATGTACTTTGAGAATAAAGATCACATCCATTGACTTTGTCTTGCTACAAGAGCTACGTGTTGTTTACGCTTCACATTCTGTGGACCGCATCGCCGTTCGTCACTTACGCTACTCTGATCGATTTTCTTTCACTTACTTTTACTCGACACGTGATTCACTTTTCCTTCGACTGTCCGCGGCGTCGGACGGGAACCCGTCGATTTTACCGAAATATCTTCGAGATTTATTTCTCGACAAGTTTAGTAGTCTCCGTACGCCTTGTCTTACCAGCTCCAGTAGCCGATGAGACCGATTCGTAGCCATATTCGGGTAGCCACAGTAGTTTTGAAGTTGCCGTAGCCGGAGTAGGAAGAGTTGTAACCGTAATCACCGCCGTAGCCACCACCGTAGTCATGCAGCAGCTGGGGTAGTGATTCGTAGCCATATTCGGGTAGCCACAGTAGTTTTGAAGTTGCCGTAACCGGAGTAGGAAGAGTTGTAACCGTAATCACCGCCGTAGCAATCGTATCCACTTTCCTTGAGTTATTGGTACCATAGTAAATTTTTCGTAGTAGTTGTTGCCGTAGTAATCATTACCATAGCTGTAGTTGTCGTTGTCCATACCGTTGTTTCTGTAGCCGTAGTTCACATATCCGTTATATCTATAGTCATCATAGCCTTTGTCATCCCTCCTCATTGTAATGAGGACGGTCATGGTTGTGGTGCTGTCAGTGATCGTGATATTGGTGACCATCATATTTGACAAGAAGTTACGATGCAATTAATTGGCATGTGTCGAATTCGGCAGCAATTGTAGTCTAGTATAGAACAACATCAATCAGATCACAGGTAAATTCAGAAATAAATTTCAGTGAACGTTCATTAATTATTGAAGTGGATTTATATACAACAAGCGAGCTGGCTGCACCGCAAACCGGCGTTGCATTCTGACTGAGGGTTCCCTTAAAATTAAGAATCAACAGTATTTCATGTTAGCTAAAACTGGAATTATAAAACGTTAGCTAGTAGGTTCCGCGGACAATACTGCTAACGATGTGTTCAAGGCTCTAAAACTTGTTCAGACAGGAGAAAATTCATTGAAAGCTCACTCTTTAGGACGTTGGCAACCTTTGTTGCTCAACGAAATAGCAAGAATCTAGGAGTGGAAATGTTTACTGCATTTACTAACACTACATAGTATATACGTTATAGTCCATCGCCATATTGTTTAAAAAACAAAAAGGTGTTCTCTGGGTATTTATCTACCCAGAGAGCACATTTGAGATGGGGCTATGTAGTGCCATGAATCAATATTTAGACAACTGTGGAAATGTAATACAATATTATCTGTAATCAAACATAAGTACTTCCTAACTTCACTGTTACTTGAGCAACAAATGATAACAGCAATTCCATGACGATAAGTCTCAAAATTAAGCTTGTTGTACAAACAGATACAGATTCGATAACTGAAGTAATTATAAAGATCTTTCCGGAAATAAAGCTCATTTCAATGCGCCCGAACAGCTATGATACTTTGATTTCGTCGCTAGCTGTAAAATTGCTCTCGGCTACTTGCCTAGCGACGTGCCTAGATGCATTTAATTTGAACGACGATAGCACGCAGCGAATCTTAAGAGTGAATGTATGTTTTGACCTCCACTAATCATTTACATCTTGAAGTCAACAACGTCCGGCTTTTATTATACTCAACGTAGGAATCGATATTGCCGAGCTGGAACGTTGCGCTGGGGTATTGCCCAGTTTGTTTAAACCACCCAAAGCCTTGGGGCTTCTTGTGCACTTCAACGATCTAAAACGCAAAAGATAAAGTGTGATAAGAAACGTCGGGCACAGGCCCGCCTTGTCCTAGCCTCTACCTACCGCTACTCACAGCCGCCCCGGTGCCTCTAATCTCTGGTCCAGTACCACTTTCCAACACTCATCCTCGCCGGGGAGGGTCGATCAGTGAGATCTACTCGTACTCGCACACGCACTTCCCCCCTTTAGCACCTCAATATAATCCAATTTCGGCTCGCAGGGTCATCAACCGGGGTGCACCCAGTGCCTTGGGCATCAAATCCGCCGGCATGCGCTCGCCTGCGCAGGACTCGGTCGTTAGGATTCCCTGCTTCGTGTAGTCCCCCACGAATTTCATGCGCACGTCAATATTCTTTGACTGTGATGAGACGATCTCGACATCCAGCTGCTTGACTGCGGCTGGTTGTCCACGCGCGGCGCCAGCGGTGCCTTGGATTTCACACTCAGTTCTCCCAGCAACTCGCGCACTCCTAGTAACTCCGCAGCCGTCACGGGCGCCGCCGGGTACGCTGCCTCCATGGTGCATAAGGAGGCTCCTCCTTGTTTCCGACACATCCAGCTGATGAGCATTCCGTCCATCGTCATCTGGCCTCCAGTGACGGACTTCCTGTTCTCTTTGTCAGCCGCATAGTCTGCGTCGCTGTAAGCGACCACCTCAAGTAGCTCCTCCTGTTCCATCTTCCTTTTGATTTTGAGCCGCATCTATTTTGTCTCGCCCAGGTATCGCAGTACCTGTTTGGAAAACTTCTAGTCCTCGACTGTAGGATCGTGTGGGCGCCTCGATGCCTTGTGCACTGCGAACGCGATGTCAGGACGCGTACACCGCCCCACCAACATCAAGCTCCTACCAACGCATGGAACTTCTTTGCAGTGACGACTCCGTCTCCATCAGTCAAATGCAACTTCGCACACTCAGTTCTTCGGAGCTTGTTTGCTTCCGTCTCAATGGACGTTCGCGCCCCATGCGCGTGCTCCCAACCCACAGTATTTTAGCATCTCCATGTTCATCACTTCCTGATCCAAGTTGTACCCTTCCACATCGACGTACGCGACGTGCATCCCCAGGAACTTGCTTGACCCACGTTCCTCGCGGAGAATTCTTTAAGCTCTCCGAAGAAAGCGTCCACTGCACGTTGATCCATACCTGTTACGAGCAAATCGTCGACATACATTCCGACTACCAGCAGGACCTTTCCGCGTCACCGGTAGTACACGCACATGCCAGGCAAACTCTGCTCGAATCCGATCTCCACTAACTTCTTTTGCAATAGCCACAGGCGGCCCACCTGTTTTAATCTATACAGGGCTTTCTGCAGCTCCACTGCCTGGGCATCGTTGGCATCGACGCCAAGCTGTCTGCGCGTCTCCTCGGAGACCTTCATGCCTTGTGGGAGGTGTATGAAAATGGTTAATTCACCCTCTTTGTCGACCTTTACGTACACATTTGACACGTCATCGTACTTCGCCGGGACCCTCCTTTTTCGTGTCAACACCAAGATCAATGTAACACTTGTTTTCTCCATCACCGCAGCTAACATGACTCCGTAGTTCACTCCGTACTCCTGTTCGTTCACGCAGACCACGAACCTCGACAACGACTCTTTGGTGTCCACTTTGGTCTTAAAGACCCACTTTGTGTGCATCACAGGCATCCCTCGGGGCATCTTCACCACCTGCCATACGCCGTTGTCTTCTAGAGCTCGCAGCATCTCGACCAAGACTTCCTTCCAATTCTCGCTGTGCCGGCTACGCATAGTTTCACGATAATTCTTAGGGTCAACCTCAGTCACGTTATTGACCACATTTTCGCTTTAATTCCCGCTGAACGACCTCCGTCGACTCCTCCACAGTGCGTCGTGCAACGGAGCGAATCAAATGACGTCCTCGTGTGTAGTCCTTTTTCTTCTTGGAGCTGTTCGCACCCAAGTAAAGTGTCTACACATTCCGTTCTCGTTCTGCTCTTTATCCAGAGTTTCGATGTCCAAAACATGTTGCGTGGCTACAGCCACCTTGCCCTTCGTCAGGTACACGCGGTACCCTTTCGTCTCTTCACCGACCCCGACGATCATTCCGTGTTGTCCCCGTTCAACAAATGTTTTCTTCTCTGGATTCCTGTAGACCATACATGGCGACCCAAACACCATGATCTCGCCGCGCTGTGGCGTTTTCTT